GAAAGGGAACGGCCCAGTCGCTGGGGCATCCGTACAGCCTGGTCTTCAACAGGTATTCTTGAAAGTAAGCAGATTCTGTGAAGTTGGCTTGCCGATAGTTGTGGTGTTTTTAAATTGCAGTGTTTTAAAATGTAGAAGAAGAGATTGGATTTATACGCCGCCCATCAGTACCCAAAGGAGTCTCAGAGCGGCTTACAAACTCCTTTCCCTTCCCCTCCCCACAACAGACACCCTGTGAGGCAGGTGGGGCTGAGAGAGCTCTTGACAGAAACGGCTCTTTTTTTTTCAAGGACAGCTCTTATCAGAGCTATGGCCCAAGGTCATCCAGCCAGGTGCAAGTGGAGGAGTGGGGGAATCAAACCCGGTTCTCCCAGATTAGAGTCTGCACACTTAACCACTACACCAAACTGGCTCTTTTTGTAGAACAAAGTTTGAGTCCAGTGGCACTTGGAAGACCCACTTTTAAATGATGTTCCGGATGGCTCTGGGTGGGCGCTGGCCGAGTGGAACGCAGCAGTGGCAACGTAGAACATTGCTGCTGACAGTAATGAGAGAAAGTGGATATTGACGTGGCTTGTCGTAAAACCTAGCTTTCCTCTTTCCTGGCGATTCAACTTAAACTGGCTTTGGTGCGCCAGCCCGAAGTTAGAGTCTAGCTGTTTTCCTGTGGGGTAGAGGATGTTTGGTGGGACCTGAACTGGTGTGGTTTCATGGTAGAGCCTCTGCTTGGCATGCAGAAGGTCCCAGGTTCAATACCTGCCATTATTCAGTTAAAAGGACCAGGTAGTAGGCGTTGTGAAAGACCTCAGCCCGAGACTCTGGAGAGACATAGACAGGGGCTGCGGCAAAGTGGCAGAGCATCTGCTTGGCATGGAGAAGGTCCCAGGTTCAGTCCCCGGCATCTCCAGTTAAAAGGACCAGGCAGGAGGTGATGGGAAAGACCTCTGCCTGAGACCCTGGAGAGCTGCTGCCAGTCTGAGCAGACAATACTGATTTTGGTGGACCAAAGGTGTGATTCAGTATATGGCAGCTTCATGTGTTCAATCCCCGGCATCCCCAGTTAATGATTGGGTGGGAGGTGATGTGAAAGTCTTGTACCCGAGACCCCGGAGAGCCGCTTACCAGTCTGCGCAGACAACACTGACTTTGATGGACCGAGGGTCTGATTCTGTGTAAGGCAGGTTTGTGTGTTCATGTGTTGGCGGGGTGTGTGGTGTGGAGCATTGTTTCAGCTAAGCAATATCTTCGAAAAGTCACTGGCAGGGGGTCTGTATGGAAGGCCTCAGCCTCTATACCGCCTTCCAGAGGAACTGGCTGGCCACTGTGTGATGAGACAGGATGCTGGACTCGATGGACTATTGGTCTGACCCAGCAGGGCTCTTCTGATGTTCTTATCAGGGGAAGGCCTCGGCCTCTATACTGTTGTTGGCCCTCCAGAGGAACTGGCTGGCCCCTGTGTGGGACACGATGCTGGACTAGATGGACTCTCACTGGTCTGATCCAGCAGGGCTCTTCTGAGGTTCTTCTCAGGGGAAGGCCTCGGCCTCTCTGCCCTGCTTTTGGCCTTCCAGCGGAACTGGTTGGCCACTGTGTGAGACAGGAGGCTGGACTAGATGGACCCTCACTGGTCTGATCCTGCAGGGGTCTTCTTAGGTTCTTCTCAGGGGAAGGCCTCGGCCTCTCTGCCCTGATGTTGGCCCTCCAGAGGAACTGGCTGGCAACTGTGTGGGACAGGGTGCTGGACTATATGGACCCTCACCGGTCTGATCCTGCAGGGCTCTTAAATTCTTCTCGGGAAGGCCTCGGCCTCTCTGCCTTGTTGTTGGCCCTCCGGAGGAATTGGTTGGCCACTGTGTGAGACAGGATGCTGGACTAGATGGACCACCAGTCCGATCCAGCAGGGCTCTTCTTATGTTCTTATC